GCACCCCCAGTGGAAGCAAGGTCAGCCGCCACGACAGTGTTCAGGGGCCCAGATGCCCAGATATGACATTTGACTCTGGGTTATCCTGGAGCCAGGCACGTGAGCCTGTATACTTCGTGTGTCTTGGGAGTGTTGTATTGCCAGCCACGTTCTGGAGACTGCCCTTGGCTCATCAATCACTTGGTGCTAGTGGCTGAAGGGGGTACATTGTCTGTTACAGATTGAAGAGGGGAGTAAAGCCGCAGCTGTGGACAAATTACTGGCTGGAGACGAAATCGTGGGCATCAATGACATCGGGCTGTCGGGGTTCCGGCAAGAAGCCATCTGCTTGGTGAAGGGCTCCCACAAGACCCTGAAGCTGGTGGTCAAGAGGTAAGCCCCATTCTTTGCTCACCAGATAGGAGCAGAACAACAGCGTGTGAAAGCAGCCACGGGGCACACCTGTCTGTGCCATGGCAGCAATCCTGACGTGGTGGGGGGGCGGCAGGAGGCACGGGGAGATTTGCTCGTAGAATCACATCTCTTGGCCAGGGATGAGTCCAGCACCAGACATTCTAAAGATTCCTCGTTTTATTAGTAGATAAGTGCTGTTGAGTGGGCTGACTCCTGGTGACCCGTGTACAACAGATCAAAACATTGCCTGGTCCTGTGTCATTGTCACGATGGTAAACATGCTGGAGCCCGTCATCGTAGCTGTTATGCCGATCCATGTCACCCAGGGTCCCCCTGACCCTCGCTGGCCCTCTGCTTCACCAAACAAGATGACTTCCTCTAGCGATTGAGCCCTCCTGGTGACGTGTTGGACGGTGTGCTTTTGTGATCCGTAAGATTTTCAGTGGCTAATTTTCAGAAGTAGATTTCCAGGCCTGCCTTCTTAGTCTGTCTCAGTCTGGAAGCTCTGCTGGAACCTGTCCACCATGGGTGACCCTGCTAGTCTTTGAAATACCACTGACATAGCTGCCGGCATCACAGCAACACACAAGCCACCTACTGATTGTTTATTTTCATTTATCACATGAATTTGAAAACTTGTCTCTTTTTTTTAGCTATAAGTAGTTTAGGAGCTCTGGTAGCATAGTGCCTAAGGCACTTGACTGCTAACCAGAAGGCTGGAGGTTCAAACCCACCAGCCACTCCTTGGCAGGAAGGTTGGACAATCTACTTCCACAGTGGTACTGCCTCGGAAACCCAAGGAGGGGTCACTATGAGTTGGGTCCGACTCGACGGCACATAACAACAACAACATACGTAGTTTATCTGGCAGAGAGAAAACTGCTTATGTTTGTTACACAGTGATGTGTTGTTGCCTGTTGTTTACACAAGGTGGCGTTTTCGGTCTATATGCCAGAAATATAGGAAGAAGCACTTGGCTAAAAGGTCGGCAGTGATGAGAACTCAGCAGTACGAACCCAGCAGCCACTCCATGGGAAAGAGATGTGTCAGTCTGCTTCTGTGAAGATTTATAGCCTTGGAAACCGTATGGGGCAGTTTTACTTTGTCCTGTGGGATCACTGTGAGCCAGAATCAACTCAAGGCAGTGGGTTTAGTTTTGGGTTAAATAGGCTTTTAAAAGCCAGCTGCAAGCTGTTTCCTGTGCCAGGCTGCTATCTGAGGGAAGCATGTTGCCTAGTCCTATAAATTACTTTGCTGATAGGAGCATGGAGGATTTTAAGAGATTAGAAGGCAAACTTGGGGATGTGTTGTCTTTATATGTAGGACCTAAAATAATATTCCTGGGCACCACAAAGGTGTTAGCAGTTTGCTGTTTTCATGTGGAAATAGTTCTCCACCTTGGTTTTCGTAGTTGGCTAATTAATTGGTGTTTACATGCACTTTTTTTTTTTTTTTTTTGCAGAATTAGTCCATTCTTTCAAAGATTGGCTGTACATTTTAAAAAATAAACAACAAGTAGACTCAAGCATATTGTGGTTTCTGGTATAAATGGGAAGATATATTCCCAAAGGACTTTACCTTCTTTCTTTCTTTTCTTTTTTTTTTTTGTTTTGGCCCCAAACAGCCTCTAAAGAGGCATTTCAGAAACAAGGAGGGGAAAGTTAACATTCTTTGCCACATCAGCAGCCTCCTTTCTAAGTTGGACATGCTGTTCTAAGGCAGCCTGGTGGCACAGCCGCTAATCGGAAGGTTCAATGGTTGGAACCCACCCAGAAGCTCTGGGGGAGAGAGACCTGTGAGCTACTCCATCTTTATAGATGATAGCTGCTGGTGGGTTTGAACCACAGACCTTTTGATTAGGGGTCAAGTGCTTTAACCACTGTGCCACCAAAGCTTCCTATACCCCATGATAGATGGCTACAAAGAGCAAATTTGTTTTCTCACAATTCCAGGGGCTAGAATTCCAAATTCTGGGCATCGGCAGAGCCATGCTTTCTCTTTGCTCTGGGGGTAGCGCTGCCTGTCACAGCAGCCCCAGCAGGCATTTGCATGTGTTCCTTGGCTTGTAGACAGCCCCCCACATGCTAACTCCCCGCTTTGAATGTGACTCTCTGTTTCTTCTCCCTATTCAGAAGGGATTAGAGAAGGGTAGGCTCCCCTACACTCCAATATGATTGCAAACCAAAACCCCCAACCTGCTGCCATGGAGTCGATTCCGACTCACAGCGCCCCAAGAGGACACAGTAGAACTGCCCCCTAAGGTTTCCAAGGCTGTCACCTTTATGGAAGCAGACTATCTAATCTTTTTTCCCATGGAGCAGCTGCTGGGTTTGAACTGCCAGCCTTTCTGTTATCAGCTGAATGCTTAACCACTGTACCACTTGGGCTCCTTTCCGATATGACTTACCTGATAATATCTTCAAAGAAAGACTGTCTTGCAAGCGTGTGAGACCACAGATGCTACTCACCAAACTAGGATGTTAAACATAAATTTATGAACTATGTTATGCCAATTGAATGAGTTGTTTCATGAGACTATAGTCCTAAGCCTTCAAACCCAGAAAACCAGTCCTGCGAGGTATTTGGTTTTTATACACATAGTTTTTAAACAAATTCTAATCATGTGCCACGTGCTGGTCCCTCTTCAGCGCCCCCCCAGCAACACCTGTCAGGTACCACCTAATTTGTGGGCTTCTTTTATTTTAGCTAGCATGGTGGCCAGGTGATGCAGTAGCCGGGTAGGATTGCAATGGGCTGGTTCACAAAGTGAAGGGCTCTTGTTTGCTGGGGCGTGGTCACTGGGTATCTTGTCATCATGTAGAAACCGGTGCTGGGAATATGATCCTGCAGGAGACAGGAACACGATCCTCCAGGAGACATGCATGTGGATCAGTATCTGCACCAGCCGAGTGTCTTTCCCAGACACATGAGATGAAGCATTTCCTTTCTCCCAGAGGAGCGTGGAGAAAGACAAAGGGTGGTGACAGTGATCCTGGCCAAGGGTACATATGTCCAACCTTACCATCCCAGGTGGTGTCCGTGAGCTGCCAGGCACCCAGGGGTGGAGCAGCAGGGCAGCTGCCGGGTCTCGGGGGACCCTGGGCACTGTGCCCTGTCCCCTCAGGAAGCCTTTTGTTCCTTCTCTCAGCCAGTCAGGTGCTCCTTACAGGAAATCCCAGGGTAGACGTGGTTACCTCTGCACCCAGTATGCATCTATAGTTATTCCCTAGGTGTCAGCTTGCTTCCGGGGGTCCTGACGGGCATGTCTGCAGTGGGTGTGGGTGCTTGTGTTTTCACAAAGTACTACAGGTGATTTGGATGGGTGGCCACAGTGGGCATTCCCCCCCCCCCGGGCTTAAGTCAGTATGCTTACAAGAAGTTAAGGACCAGAGAGAGGATAGTGTGTACCATTTTCCTGATGAACTTAGCCAAGTAGGTTGCCCCCTTGCTATTTGGGGACACAGGAAGGGGCCAGGTTGTCAGACGTATTCAGGAGGTTGAGATGGGGGAGCCTGGTGGTGATGGAGCTAGGAATTAAACAGAAAGCTCCTGGCATGTAAGTTCCTGCTTGTTGCTAGGGGTTATGGTTACTGCCATCTAGTGCTCTAAAATGTGCAATTAGAGACTCTTTGGAGTGTACCAGGATGTTCGTGAGGGCAGGGTGGTACAACTTTTGCCTTCCGTGTGGGAGACCTGGGTTGACTCCCGGCCAGTGTACGTCATGTGCAGCCACCACTGTCTGTCGCCAGTGATGCCGGACAGGTTTCAGCACAGCTTCCAGACTGAGACAGACTAGGAAGAAAGACCTGGTGATCTCCTGAAAACCAGCCAGTGAAAACCCTGTGGAGCACAAGAGTCTAGTGTTGTGCTTGGGTCTCTATGAGTCAAGAGTTTGATTTAGGGCAGCTGACAACAAGGACAGGTTCATCCGTCCCTCATTTCAGGGGCACACGAGTGTGCTTTAGAAGCTGCAGATTCTGCTCCTAAACCGGTACCAGTTGCCATGGAGTTGATTTTGACATATGGTGACACCTGTGTGTTAGAGTACACCTGTGCTCCACAGGGTTTGTGGTGGCTGGCCTTTCAGAGGCAGACAGACTGCCAGGCCTTCTGAGGTGCCTTTCAGTAGACTTGAACCTCCAGACTTTTGGTTAGCAGCCACCCAGGGACTCCCAGCTCCTAAAAGGTACCTTTAATTTCAAACGCCCTAGAGAAATTTCTTTCCAGTTGATCATAAATTATTTCCTTAAGCTTATAATTACTCATTCAGTCTTCTCTCCAAATTTCTGCTTTAATATTAATTGAGTTTCCAGTGTAACACACCTGTCACTCAGTCGTTTGTCTTTTTTTGTGCAGCTTCTCTTGAACACGTGCTGTGTTGCAGGTACTTTGGTTAGGAAGCTCCAAAGCCAGATTGTCAGTAGGCTGAGTTCAGGTTATTTTGTGCCTCTGTCTAGCAGCCTGAAGCCCTTGATGAATCTCATTACATGCGCTAAGGTTGCACTCGGGAGCCCGTTCGTGTAGAGGGGAGAGAACGGTACCGGAGCCTGTAAAGGTTAGCTGGGCTGTGTGTGGCGTGCTTAAACATCTGAAGAAAGGAGGTTTCAGATTCCTGGCAGCACCCACGCTGGTGAGGACAGTGTTGCTTGCAGCCTGCCTTCGTCCGGGGATGTTACTGGGTTGCAGTGGATTCTGCTACAAGCCAGGATCTGGCCGAGCTCCCCCGTGGTGCTCACTCTGTGGAGCTGTCCACGAGCAGGTGGCTCTGGGGCCACTGCACTGATTATAGCACAGGTATTTGGGAAGCCACGCCGCTCAGTTACACATGCCTTTGTGTAAGCAGGAGGAAGGGGCTGTCTGAGATGCTGGGAAGTTGTGTCCCCTCCTCTCCCTGTCCAAAAGCAGTAACAGCGTGGGTGTGGGTGTGGGTGTGGGTGAGTGTGGGCATTCAGGTGCAGGGCGTGTGCACGCTGGGGTTG